ACCTCATGACGGCGATAATCGCGCCCGTGGGAGCAGAATGTTCGGGCTCGCGGGGGATGGAGTTCTGACGGGGCCTCTGGCGGCGCCTCCAGGGCGCCGTGGCGAAGCCTTTTCAGGAAGTGAGGGAGGGGCGCGAAACCTTATACATTCTACAGCATAGCCACACCCCGCTCGCTCGGGCGGGTCCGCCCTGCAAGGGCGGGAGGAGCAAGAATCGCGTGAAACAAATATTGATCGCTTTATTTTGCCAGCGGTTCAGACTGCTTGAGGATTCGAACGAAGCACGGGCAAGCTAGGCTGGCTAGTGCGACACAGATCTGCTCAAGGTACCATTAAAAGGCGGCATTGGGCTGGCGTGGGCCGATAGAAGTGCCTCGAGCGAGAAGGCGACAGACATTAGCAATCATTCTCGTGCATCCCTTACATGATCGCTTTATTTTGCCAGTGGCTCAGACTGCTTGGGGATTCGAACGAAGCACGGGCAAGCTAGGCTGGCTAGTGCGACACAGATCTGCCATACTTCAACCTGAAATAAAATCCATCACTCAAGCATTGTGCTGGGGCTTAGCCCCGCATTCGTTTCCATCTTTCGGTGGACTGCAGAGCTATACACGGTCTGCGCAGCGTGACAGCCAGGAGTGCGCAAAGGGCGGGGGGATAGGCGTTTTTGAGACGGGTGAAAAAGCCACCCCCAGAAAGACAACCGGAGAGCTCCAGGTGGGGCTTGCCGGTAAAGGAGCAAACTCCTCTGCCTTTGCACACTGACTCATCAAGACCAGGGCGCGGGCTGCACTTCCAGAACCATATCCGAGTGCGAGCGCGAAAGGGGCGACCACGGGCACAATAATCGACAACCCTATCTATCACAGACATCGGGAAGGTTAGCACAGGAGCGGCGGTCGGGGCGAAGCCACAGGAAACTTTGCCAAGGGTTCTCCTCGCCGCCAGGGATATTCAACCTATAGCAGAGACGCTGAATACGCTGTGAGACCCACCCCACCTTGTTTGAGACGCGGAGGCTCTCGAGGTCTTTGCCCGTGAGGCCCGGGATCCCAAGAGGAAAAGCGGGGCTCCGGAGAGCCGAGAGCACGTTGCTGGACAGGGGGGCCCGACGGGCCCTCGAGTAGCCGTTGCAGGGCGCCCCCAGGAAAACGAGTTTGACCAGACCAGAAGTCAGCCATCCCCGGAGGATCCTCCAGACCCCCGGGCGAGTCAAATCAAAATGGTTTCCGTGTTGGACGTCCCATTCTACCACAGCCTCACCTCTCCGCCTCAGATGTTTGCTCAGAGCTCCACATCCTGAGAAAACTTCGATGCACACCCTTGTTTATGGGGGGCGCTCCGAAATTCAGCCCCAAGGACCTGTTGAAGACGCCCACGAAGTCCCTGCCGACTGCTCGGAGGGCTTCGCGCTGCAGGTCGCTGAGCTTGCGTAGTTCCAGCAGCAGGCGTCCGTGCTTCTCGTGGCGCAGCACGGACTTGAACGCCTTCCACCCTCCTCGCTGCTGCGCGGCGCCTGAGCCTCTGTCGCCCGCGCTCTGGTCGCGGCTGGCCCCTCCATGCTGGAGGGGGCAAAGGGTGGCCTTGAGTAAGCTCACGCTCAGAGCAGAGGTCGCGCTCTGGAAGTCCTCCGCCAGTTCGTTGTAGCCCAAGACCAGGAAGGCGTGGACCGGTTCCCGAAGGGCTCGCACAAGGAAGATCGGGTTCACCATCCACTGCTGCCTGGGCAGGTCGAGCCGAACTGAAAGGTCGCACTCGCGGGTCTTGGTTGGTATCTCGTACTCTGAGGCCCACACCACGACCGTCAAGAAGATCGATGCACCTCCTTCCCTTGGCAGCGGCAGGACTACCCGCCTTGCTCGCAGAGCCAGCACTCTTGAAGGGCGCATGTAGGTCTCGAACCTGGTGAGAACGGCCAAGCCACTGAGCGGCTTCCCCGCCCGGCACCGCCCGCAGGCCACCGCCAGCACCACCAAGAACGGGACGGGCGGTCTGGATTTGGACGGGTCCAGGACGTTCCAGCCCTTCAGCGTCTGGTGCGCCAGGGGGAAGACCTCGCGGACCCCGGCCCGGCGGAGGGCGGGCACCGCCCAGCGCAGCGCCGGGGCCAGCCGCTGAGATGACGCCTTGGAGACCCCGCGGTCGCAGATCGACTCGGCGTACTCCCCCAGCGTCTCGCCCCACGTGAGGCGCGGCCAGTCCGGGAGGAAAGCCATATTCAGCCAGCGTACCAAGCCGAGGATCATCCCGAGGTAGGGCCCCTGCGTGCGAGGCCTGAACTTGGCGGCAGCAAGCCGGGTCTGGCGCGGGCGCAACTGGCGCCTCTTCTGGTTGAAGTCGCTCTCCGAGTGACTGAGGCCAAGATTTGCGCGCCGCCCAGCCAAGTCTGGCCTGCTCTCGGGCTCGCCCAGCACCGGCACCGCGGCCTGCCTCGGCTTGCCCCGGCAGCGGTTGCCCGGATGGCGAGGCGGGCGGCTCCTGCGCTCGCTCGGCGCGCGAGGGCCGGAGCGGCAGCTCGCCGAGGCCATCGGCGCGGGCGGCACCGCCCGGAGCGTCGCCACCTCCATGCACGCCCCCGGGGCCCCGAGGCTGGAAGCGGCGAGACGGACCGTCGCTCGGGTTCCACTCTGAGGGGAGCCACCTCACCTGAACCTTCAGGTCTGCGGCGACCCCCACAGCGAAGAGGACGCGACAGACTCCCAGGAGACGACGATTGGCCGCACGGCCTTTGGCGGCAGCGAGGGCGAGAGACATGTTATCGCCAAGAAAGAGTCGGCGCGAACAGTGCCCCCGTGAGTCTCTGGCCGCCCGGCAGACGGCCCATGTCAGAGCGGCCCCCATCGAGCCCGTGGATGGCCTCCTTGCGCTTCCAGCGGCCGCAGCCTACTACGCGCCAGGGCCGGGCATGCATCTTGCCGTAGTCGACCTCCGGGAAGCCTGCCGAGCGCCCGGCCAGCAAGAGGGCGGGCTCTGGTGCCCGCGCTATTTCCTGCTCCAGCATCCTCTCGCGGGGGGCGCCCTCGGCAGCGAGCGCGCCTCGGAACCGGGCGCGCTCGGAGACCCTGCCGACGCGCTGCGCATCCTTCAGGTCCCACTCGGTCTCCACGATGCCGTAGCCCCAAGGAGACGCGTCGAAGCAAGTGACCACCTCGCTCCACGGGCGTCGGGCGTCGGCCCGAAGGCAAGGCAGCAGTGCCTTGACCCAGCCCATATCACGGACCACGCTTTTCCAGAGCGGCTGCTTCTTGGAGTAGGACGCCTGCACGAACTCGCATGAGGAGCGCAGCATGGCCAGCCCCTCCCGGCGCAGCATCAGGATGGAGACCAGGTGGCCGATCAGACGCTCGAGCTCCTGGCCAGAGACCTTGGCCCGCCCCGCGAGGACATGCTCGAGGGCGCCGTAGACCCGCCATAGCCGGCGACCAAGCACGTGCCAGCAGCCCGTCTGCAGGTCGAGCTCGCGCCCCAGCAGCTCGCCGCGCTCGGCCGGAGCAGGGTCTAGCTCTGAGACCACGCCCTTGGCCGCGAGCGCCGCCTGCATGTCGGCGACGGCGGTGGCGGCACGGGAGGGCGACTGGGACAGCACAGCAAAGTTGTCTATGTACAGGACCTTGGCATCCTCAAACTTCAAGCCAATGCCGGGGCACTCGTCCAAGCACCATGGCTGAGATGGCAAGACTGACTTGACGAAGTAAAGGTGTGCTTCTTGAATAAAGTGCACCGCTCTTCAACGTCAATCCGCAGGCGCTCCGAACCTCCGGCGGCAGGAAGCGACTCTCGATCAGCGGGAGGTTGAAGCAGCGCCTACACCAGGGCGGCAATGCATATTGATAGAAACAGACGCCTCCAGAACTCATGCCGATCATATTGACTCCCGACGCCTCCAGCGAGGACAAAGCCTCACCCGTCGCGAGTGCCGTGTGCCCTGGAGTGGTAAAGTGCATGTTAGGCGTCCTGGCGTCGCAGATGAGACGCAACCGCTTGTCCTTGCGAGCCGCAAAAAACACGCCAGCTTCCTCCAAAACCGGCTCCGAGCTGGCCTCGATCACGCCGGAGGTGTATAGCTCCCCCAGCGCGTGGCCGTAGTCGTAGCCGAGCCGCCCAAGCTTCGGGTCCATGGCACGAGGAGCACCTGCATCACGAATTAGCGCTGCTGCCTCCTCTGGGGATCGCAACAGCCCGCGCCCAGTCTCCAGCTTGGTCTGTAGGTCAGTCGGGAGGACCCCCGTAAGAGCCACCTTACCCGCACCGATCTTGGGGAGAGAGATATTTCCCCGCTGGTAGACTGTTCGAGAAACGATGGCCTCGACTTCCGAGTAGCCAGGCCTGAGACCCTGTAGCGTCATCCACGCTTGATGGAGACTAGGGCGATCAACGGGCGGCGACCACTTGCCGTAGGTCGTGGCCAGCCGCCTCACTGCAGCACGCTGGGCCGCCGTCAGCGGGGCGGAGGCAGGCACATGGCGCCCCTGCCCGCCCAGCTCGTTGAGGGAGGCGATGCCGTTGAGAAGCCACTGATCCTGCCGCCTCCTGGTCGCAGCTCTCCTCCGCGCTGTGAGCGAAGTGCCCCATGCAGCCCCACCGCTCGGCATCGACATCAGCTCCGGACCAATTGGGATAGGAAGTAGGTCTCGATGGCGCCCTCCACCGCCGTCGTCACAAAACATAGTGCCGCATGACCAGCACCTCCCCTTGAGAATAGTCGACCGCTCGGGGGCAGGCGGGCGACCGAGCCACTTCGATGTAGGGATGGGGCTAGGCAGCCCCGTCAGCACCAGCCAAGGCCTTTGCTTTTGACTTCGGCCTGTCTGTGCTGTTCTCTTCCACACTACCTCGAGCAAGACTCTTTTCTTCACGTCCTTTGCGGCGCCCTTTGAGTACTGCTGCTCCCTCCTGAAGGCGGGCTGCCACCCCGCTTTGCAGCGCAGGACAAACCACAACTCCTTCACGCCCACGCTCTTGTCCCAAGAGGATCCCGCGCTCGTCGAGCAAAGCCGACCCCCCAGCACTGCGAAGTACGCCCGCCTCGTGTTCGCGAAGTCTGTTAGCATACTGCTGCACCACCCACAAAGTAGTCCGAGGCCCGCAGCCAGGGAAGTCCAGCTGCGAGTTGGAGGTCGTGATGTCCACTGACTCAGCGAAGATTCTGACCCTGTTGCCGCCGCCACCGTACTTGACGAGGAGGGTTCGAAAAGTCTGCTCTGCAGCTTGGCGGTCCTGCCGGGGGGTGGGCGTGCCCTCGTAGGTATCGGCCTTCGCGACTGCCAGCTTGAACCCGTCGGCAGGCTCGCAGATGCCCCCATCCCCGACAATGGCGCCGGGCACGGTGCCTGCTTGAAGCCCGTCACCTGGTCGGTAGCCAGCGCAAGCCTCCAAGGCAACCCAGCGAGGAACATCACCTGCGTCAGCGCGATCCATGAGAGCACCATCGAGTGCAGGCGGAGGCGCGAGCGCCCCTTGTGGCTCCTCGGGGAGGCCCTCCTCCCGGCAGATATCGCTAGCGAGCTGCTTGCCTTCGCTGAACAGCCTCCCTTTGTGTCTCTTGAAGCGGATGATGTCTGTGCCGAGGATGTGGCCCGAGAGCTTCGTGGGCAAGCCTCCAAGGGGGCCGACCTGACAGAGATCCAGGGCGTCTGCAAAATCTTCCTCGTAGATGTCACTGTGTGGTGTGACCACCACCCATTTGGCCGCAGTGATTCTGCTGACCAAACTGCATTCATGCCAGTAGTTGTCCTCTTGATCGTAGTGGCCGAGGACCCATACGCCCACCCGCAGGTTCTCCAGGGCCTTCGCCGTCCGCGATGCTGCCATGGACCACCGACTGGGTTTCTCCGCGGGCACGTCGTCGTCCTGTCCAGACGAGGACCTTTCGAAGCACCGCGCCCACGACCAGGCCGAGCACGAGCGAGAGGGCCAGCCCAAGCCGGGTGTGCCCGGGCTCGGGGCAGGCTGGCGTGAATGACGGCTGCCCGTGCAGGTGCTCTAGTCCGCACCTGCCAAGCTGCCCCTTCAACAGCCCGATGAACGCCTCGTCGGGCGCGGCGTCGAGGAGGCAGCTGCAGTCGCACCCGCTGCTGCTGCTAGGAACCAGGTGCCCAGCGCCTGGCCGCCGACAGCCGCGACCTGATGAGCTCCCGCCCTGAAGAGGGCTGTGGCCGTTCGGAGAATGAAATCCCGAAAGAAGTGCCTTGAGCGAGAAGGCGACAGACATTAGCAATCATTTTCGTGCATCACTTACAGTTGTTGGGATGCCTTGCTCTCTTTGGCGGGGGGGTCCTCAACGCTCTGGCGGGGTTTGCCCAGGAAGGGAGGGAGGACCACGAAAACCGGAGGATAGTTATGGTATAGCCACACACCGTGCGCCCTGACGGGGCTACCTCGGGTGCGGTGGCAGGAGCAAGGCAGAACAGTAAGTGTATATAGTATAACAACACCCCTCTCGCTCTGCCAGGGCAGCCCTTGAGGGGTGGGATGGGCAAAGCAACTTGTGAAATGATAGGGTATAGCGATGCCCCACTCGCTCTGCCGGGGCCTGTCTGGCGCTCTGGCGGGGCCGTCCCAGGAGAGGAGGGGGAGCATGAAAAAGGGGTGAGGGGAGGAAGAGGAAGAAGGAAGGAATGGAGACAAGGGGGGGGGGGACGGCAGGGAAGGAGGGACGGAGCCAGCTTCGAGCGCCCTGGGGCCTCCCGTTCCCGCTCTGTGGCCCAGCTTGGGCCTGTCCTGAGGCCTCTTGGGCCGTCTGGGGCTCCTCGTGGACAATTTGCAGGCTCTCTGGAGCCGTCTTCGGGCTCTGCTGGGGGCATTTTCGGCGGTCTTGGGGCGGTCTTGAGGGCGTCTTCGGCCGTCTTCGAGCATTGGAAGCTCGAGAACGCGAGAAAGCGAACAACATATAAAAAACAATGCAAATTAATGGTTTGGGTCTCTTTGGAGGCCTCGGTGCCTTCGGGACGTCTCTCGGAGCTTTCTTGGGTCCTCTAGGAGGCCTCTTGGGCTGTGCGTTTGTCGTCTTGAGCTCCTCTTGGGCCACGTTGGGATCATCTGGGCCGTCCTGGAGCGCCTTGGGGCCTCCCGCTCCCGCTCTGGGGCCCATCATGTGCCTCTCTTGGGATTATCTTTGGCAATCTTGGGCTGCTCTTGGGCAGTCTTCCAAATCCCTGGTGGCGTTTCGGGGCTCTTTGGGGGGCCTCTTCGGCGGTCCGAGAAGGCGAGAAAGCGAAACACATTACGGAAATCAAGGATGTGGGCCTCTTCGAACTCTTTCTGGACGCCTCTCGGAGCTCGCTTGGGGCCTCTTGAAGGCCTCGTGGGCTGTGAATTGGCCGTGTTGGGCCCATCTGGGGCCACGTTGGGGCCATCTGGGCCGTCTTGGAGCGCCTTGGGGCCTCTCGTTCCCGCTCTGTGGCCCAGCTTGGGCCTGTCCTGGGGCTCTCCTGTGCCGTCTGACGCTCCTCGTGGGCAATTTGCAAGCTCTCTGGGGCCGTCTTGGGACCCTTTGGGATGCCTTTTCGGCGGTCTTGGGGCGGTCTTGGGAGCGTCGTCGGCCGTCCTGGAGCGTGGGAAAATCGAACACGCGAGAAACCAACAAAATAACAAGCGAAAATAAATGAAGAGGGTATTTTTTCGGCCTCTCTCGGAATACTTCTCGGAGCTCTGTTGAAGCATCTTGGAGGCCTCTTGGGCTGTGTATTTGCCGTGCTGAGCCCATCTGAGGCCACGTTTGGGCCATATGGGCCGTCCTGGAGCGCCTTGGGGCCTCCCGCCCCCACTGTGCGGCCCAGCTTGGGCCTGTCCTGGAGCTCTCTTGGGCCGTCTGACGCTCCTTCTGGGCAATTTTCAAACTCCATGGTGCCGTCTCGGGACTCTTTGGGGGGCCTTTTCGGCGGTCTTGGGGCGGTCTTGGGGGCGTCGTCGGCCGTCTTGGAGCGTCGGAAAGTCGAAAACGCGAGAAACCGAAAAACATTTTAAAAAATTAGCCTCAATGGTTTGGGCCTCTTTGGGCTCTCTCGGGATGCTGTTCGGAGCTCTTCTGAAGTTTTTGTTGGAAGCCTCTTGGGCTGTGTGTCGAACCCGTTTTGGGCCATGTTGGGGTTATCTGGGCTGTCTCGGAGGGGGTTGTCGAAGCCCCCGAGGTTTCTGGGACTCTCTGGGGCAGTCTGGGAGCTATCTAGGCTGTCTTGGATAGGCTTGTCGAACTCCCCGAGGATTTCTGGGAGCTCTCTGGGGCAGTCTGGGAGCTCCAAGGTCGATCCGGGGTGCTCTGAGAGCGGCTTGTGAAACCCCGGTCCTCCCATGCCCCCACGGGCCCCGGGCCCCGGACGCCCGGGCCTCGTGCACGGGTGTATATGTATATGTATATGTATGTATGTATACATATATATATAAACACATACATACATACATACATACATACATACATACATACATACATACATACATACATACATACATACACACACATACATACATACATACATACATACATACATACAAACATACATACATACATACATACATACATACATACATACATACATACATACATACATACATACATACATACATACACACAACACACACATCTGTGTGTGCGTGCGTGCCACTCACTGAGCTAGCGTGACGAGTGCAGAGCCCTCCCTCCCAGGCCTCTTCACCCTCCACCCCCCGCAGCCCTAGGGGCACGATTGCGCACCGGCGGGGGCGGGGCGGGCAGGGCCCGCGGGGGGCGCAAAGAGCTCGGCGAAACTCCTACAGGCCAGCGGCGTGAGTTCGCTGGTTACAGACCGCGCAATGCCACTTAGCTTCCGCCCAGGCCATCGCGTGGCACGTCCCGCGCAGAGCTATCTTCACGCCGCCACCACTGGGCACCCGAGGCGCGGTCTCTTCACGCTCTGCACGAGACGAGGCGGAGGAGGAGGAGGAGGAGGAGGAGGAGGAGGGATGGATGGAACATCATCAAAGAGGTCCTGGCGACCGTCCGCACGCAGACGACTGCCCGGGCGCCAGATGTCAGTTGGGCCCCGCACCACCGCGAGCACGCTCACAGACGCCGCGGCGACGAGGGAAGGGCCCCGAAGCAGCCCAGACAGGCATCCGACTCACCCTGGCCTTGCCAAAAGCAAGCCAGGGGGGGCGGAAGCCACCCCCGCGGGGACAAAACCGGGCACCCCCAGCAGCCGCCAACGGCCGCCCCCACACCCCGACGTGGGAACGCGGCGGCCCCCCAAACCCACGCCGAGGGGCACCGACCAAAATGTCGAGGCAGACCCAGCAGAAAGAGCGAGGGCCCGCCCGACCGCTTATCTCCCGTGGGTCGCCGCCCTGGCCTGCCCGGCCTTCGCGGCGAGGCGAGCCCGCTTGGCCGCCTTCGCCTGCTCCAGCCCCTTGGCCAAGTAGGCGACCTGAGCCTCGTACTGCTCGCGGTCGGCGATGGCCCAGGTCTGGTACATGCGCCTCTGCAGCACCGCGAGGCGCCGCCTCCCGCCGACGACCGCGCGCTCGTCGAACGGGTCGCCGGGGGCGGCCTCGCTTTCCTCCGACTCCAGCGCGCGGCAAGACACGTCGGCCTCCAGCGCCGAAGGCTACACGATGGCAGCGGTCTTAATATGAGGCCCCGTCCACCTCCTCCAGCACCTCGCCGACCCCGCCACCTTCGACGTCCCGGACCACGTCGCAGCGCTCACGAAGGAGGGCAGCCTCGTCGCGCGGACGGCACGCGGCGGACGGGCGCCGCCGTTACCGTCGGCGGCCTCCTCGCGCTGGGCTGCTGCCCACCAGGATGAAGACCAGCTCCAGCAGGGCGGCGAAGAGGAAGGCGTGCGCCGTCACGCACCTCAGCTCCGCGGGCACGCCGAAGCTGACCTCCTCCGCGTCGGCCCAGCCGTGCAGACCTCTGCAGGCGATGCCTAGCACCTCGCTGGATGCAGTCGAGCTCCGCCTTGCCAGCCTCCTGGATCACCATGGCGGCGGCGTTGAAAACGCGCGCCGCCGTGTCGCGCCGCTGCTTGCCCAGCGTCGGCACGCAGGGAACGACCACGCTCCCCTGCCCCGCGGCCAGGCCCGCCGCGAGGATCGGCGTTTCGACGGCCAGCCGCCCGACCAGCTCGCCCCTCAGCTTGTCTGCCTCCCCCGTCGCGTCCGTACCCGCCAGTGCCACAGCCTGCTGGGCCGCCGCCTCGTGCACCTCCAGGGTCTTCCTGAAATCCGCCTCGAGCTCCGAGGCTCTGGATTCGAGCGCCTTCACGCGCTCGAGGGCGGCCGACTGCCGGCCAGCAGCCGCCAGGCGCGCGGCCGCCTGCCTGACGCGCCGCGCAGGCCACAGCGACCCGCCGCCATTGCTAGGCTGCTCCGCCGCCTCGGGGGCGGCAAGGCAGCCGACCGCAGGCATCCCCCAAACGAGTCTCAGCGGAAGAGCGCGGGGCGGACGCGGCGGCTAGAACCAAAATGGCTACGGAGGAGGAGGAGGGGGAGGAAGAGGAGGAGCAGGAGGAGGAGGAGCAAAAGCAGGCCTTTTGAGAGCCTCTTGAAACACCTTTGGGGTCTCCCGGGAACTTCCTGGGAGCTTTGTGGAGGCCTCTCGGTAGCCTCCTTGGGCCTCTTGGGGGGCCTTTTGGAACTCCTTGGGGGCCTCTTTGACCGTCTTACAGCGTTCCTGGCCCGACGGACGCCGTCGGAAAAAAACAGTCTTGGATGCCTCTCTGAAACGACTTGGGGTCCTCTTGGGGCTCTTCAGGGCCGTCTAGGAGACCATGTTGAGCGTCTTCGCGGCGTCTTGGGCCGTCTTGGGATCCTCTTGGGTCGTTTTGGGACCCTCTTAGGGGCCGTCATGGGGTCATCTTGGAGGCCTTTTGGGGGTCATTTTGGGGCGATATTTTGGGGCCTCTTCGGCCGTCCGGAAGCCAAAGAAGCAAATGCCAAAATCACCACACACACACACACAAAAAAAAAAAAAAAAAAAAAAAAACGAAACGAAAGAACATCTATCATTGTGGTCTCGCCGGGCCCTCCTGCAGGACCTCTTGGAGACCTCGTGGGCAGTCTTGGGTGCCTCTTGGAGGCCTCTAGGGCCGCGTTGGAGGCTTCTTGGGCGAACTTGGAAGCATCTTTGTTTCTTGGGCCGTCTTGGAGGCCATGTCGGACTCTCTTGGGCGAGCTTGGAGGCCATCTTGGCGGTTTGGGCTGCCATGTTGGGTCATATTGGAGCCATCTGGAGCAGGAAAAAATGCAAATGGGTCAGACAAAACCTTCCAGGTGGCCGGCGGCATGGACCGAAGCCCCAGGGGGGATTTCATGTAGAACAGAACCAAAACCAAGCAGTAGGAATTACGCTACCGAAGAACCCCACATACTTATTTGTGTCACGTGTTTTCACAAACCATGTCACATCTCGCTCCGCCATCCTGACGAGAGACGGACCAGACCAGCCAGATCAGCCAGACCAGCCAGACTGACCAGACCAGCCAGATCATTCGTTCCAGCCATAACCAGCCAAAGTAATCAGACCAACCAGCCAGGCCAATCAAGCAGACCAGCCAGACCAACCTCTGGGGCGACCGCTCGGAGGGTGACAACTCTCTGCGCACCCCTTTTGGTATGGAGAAAATGCCACCCGTCAGAACCATGGCGTGTTTCATCGCCAGACACGGAGGCGGCAGAGCGTCCATGGCAAGTGTAGGCGGCATGACTGCCGCGCGCAGGAAGGGCGGTGCTCTGAAGTAGGATTACAGGAGCGCGCCTGCGTGAGAGCGCAGGCGCGCCGAGCCGGCTGGAGCCAAGGTGTTTACAGTTCTTGACCAGATACGAGCTCCCACCCCTAGCGCACCCCCTCTGGTGTCGGGGAAGTGCCACGCCTGCCACGCTTTGCGAGCCCGAAACGCATAGGGCACCCACCCCCAGCGCACCCCCTCTGGTGTCGAGGAAGTGCCACGCCTGCCACGCTTTGCGAGCCCGCAACGCATAGGGCCCCCACCCCCAGCGCACCCCCTCTGGTGTCGAGAAAGTGCCACGCCTGCCACGCTTTGCGAACCCGAGACGCATAGGGCCCCCACCCCCAGCGCACCCCATCTGGTGTCGAGGAAGTGCCACGCCTGCCACGCTTTGCGAGCCCGAAACGCAGAGGGCCCCCACCCCCAGCGCACCCCGTCTGGTGTCAGGAAGTGCCACGCCTGCCACGCTTTGCGAGCCCGAAACGCATAGGGCCCCCACCCCTAGCGCACCCCCCCCCTCTGCCACGCCTGCCACGCTTTGCGAGCCGAAACGCGCCCCCAGCGCACCCCCTCTGGTGTCGAGGAAGTGCCACGCCTGCCACGCTTTGCGAGCCCGAAACGCATAGGGCCCCCACCCCCAGCGCACCCCCTCTGGTGTCGAGGAAGTGCCACGCCTGCCACGCTTTGCGAGCCCGCGCTGCGCAGTTGACGCCTGATGCGAAACGCATAGGGCCCCCACCCCCAGCGCACCCCCTCTGGTGTCGAGGAAGTGCCACGCCTGCCACGCTTTGCGAGCCCGCAACGCATAGGGCCCCCACCCCCAGCGCACCCCCTCTGGTGTCGAGGAAGTGCCACGCCTGCCACGCTTTGCGAACCCGAAACGCATAGGGCCCCCACCCCCAGCGCACCCCCTCTGGTGTCGAGGAAGTGCCACGCCTGCCACGCTTTGCGAGCCCGAAACGCATAGGGCCCCCACCCCCAGCGCACCCCCTCTGGTGTCGAGGAAGTGCCACGCCTGCTATGCCTGGACGACCGTCGTGCATAGCGGCCATATCGGAACGTGTCTCATGTGGGTGCCCACTATGTGGCGCACACGTCGTGGATGTGTGATGCAGTGAACACGCCAGGCGCGCACTAGCGCTGCGCTGTGCTGGGTGTTGCTGTGCGCTGAGCTGTGCTGTGCTGCGCTGTGCTGCGGTGAGTTGTGCTGTTGAGCTGAGCTGAGCTGAGCTGTGCTGAGCAGTGCTAAGCAGTGCTGTGAGGAGGAGGGGAAAAGTGAGGTGTGCGAGAGAGCGAGAGAGACTGTGCGGGTGAGACGCGGGTGCGGCGCGGCAGGGAAGAAAACCAGAACCCCACAAAGCATGTGGGGAACTAGCACGCCAGGCACCCCTGTGATGAATCGACAGGGGGCGGCGGGTTTAGCGGCATCCGGCTCGTCCCGCCACCGCGCCTGGGTTGCAGGTCAGAAGCATACATGGGATGCCTGCAGGGATTTCCTGGAAGGCCTCTCGGAAGCTTCTTGGATTCGGTTTAGGGAAGTCTTGAGAGACCTTGGGGCCTGCCTTGGGCCTCTTTGAGGGCCCTCTCCGGAGCGTGTGTGGGCCTCTTTACGGCCTGCTGGCGGTCTCGCTTGGGCCCCGTTGGGGCCCTGTTAAGCCGTCTTGGGTGCCTCTTGAGCCGTCTTGGGGCCCTATTGGGCCGTCTGGGGGCGCTCGTGGGAGCCCCGTCTTGGGAGGATATTGGGGACTTCTTGGGCCGTCCCGGAGCGTCGAAAGCCTGAAAAGGCGAGAGCACTGAAATCCTTCAAACGCAGACGGATGGACATTAATTTTGGCATATCGGGGCCCTCTTGGGGGGCCTCTTGGAACCCCTCTGGGGGCGTCTTGGGGGCCTCATGGGCCGTCTGTGAGCCATCTTGAGCGTCTTGGAACGATATGTGGGCGGTTCGGGGCCATCTGGGACCGTGTTGGGAGCCTCTTGGGCCCTCTTGGCCCGTCATGGTGGCCCTGGGCATCTGGAAAAATTATACAAGGAAGCCCGGGATCGCGCGAGAGCGCGCGGGACCGACTTCAGATCTTTGAACCCGTGCCCCACATTCGAATATTTCCAAACTGAACGCAAGTAAAAAGAACTCTAGAAACTTGGAAGCACTCCACTTCGTGCCTCGAGGCACGGTGGCACATGATTCGCAGTACGACTAGTAATAACACAAGTGTCAGCATTAGCATTAGTAGTCGTAGCATTTGCACTGGCATTCTTTATAAGAGCAGTCTTATCGGCCACCGCCGGCCAGGGGCGCCTGCTGCATCCCATCGGAGGCGGCGAGGCACCCGTCGTGGCTCTGGGCGTGCGGGGGGGGGGAGACCTTCTCTGCTCTACTGCGGAGGGGGTGGGGGGAGGGAGAGAGAAAGAGAGCAAGAAAAAACATGCGCCATGATACTGTAGGCTAGGAGGCGAGAGCACCAAAAACGATACGGGGGATCCATTCCCGATCAACGCATCCTGTGCGGAGCGAAACGTTAATATGCCCCAGCTCCTTACTGTGCTTTGGGGCGCAACAAATGATAGGACTGCTGATGCCGCTCCCTTCCTCCTCCATGCTCCCTCCGCTCCTGTTCGAACTTCGAACTCCTCCTACTCCTCCCAGTTATCGTGCTGATGTTGTTGATGATGTTGATGCTGATGCTGGTAATGTTAATACTGGTCGTCGTGATCACTCTCGTCCTCGTTCTTATTTGGTCAGCACGCACGGCCCAACACGTGTTCCAGAGCACATCTGCACACTCGCGCGCGAAATTTAGACTCCTGGAGTTCTGCACGTATCTCAAGCATCGATGCGGAGAGAGATTGAGAGTGACAACCGATGGTTGCGTTCCACCGAACTTGCTGGTCATGTGCCGACAGCTATGCAGATGCGGCACGGGCGGCCTTCACCTCGAAGACCACGACGCCCCCAACCCCTTCTCCACGCGAGGCGAAGACTTGTATGCACGCTCCATCCATACACGAAACAACACATCGTCAGACGTGCACGATCTCCGCTGCCCTCATCTCCACCGTGCCTCCCAGGAGCCCACGAAAGTGGCGACGGTTGCGCAGTTCGCAGCCGCCAAGGGAGCCGCGAGGTCTCAAATGGATCTGGGCTGTTTTCACCTCTGCTGTGCCTCCCAAGAGCCCACGAACGTGTGAGCGTTGCGCACTTCGCAGCCCCCGATGGAGCCGCGAGGTCTCAAACGGATCTGCGCTGCCCTCACCTCCGCCGCGCCTCGCAGGAGCCCACGAAAGTGGCGACACGAAGGAGCCGCGAGGTCTCAAACGGATCTGCGCTGCCCTCACTTCCGCCGCGCCTCGCAGGAGCCCACGAAAGTGGCGACAGTTGCGCAACTCACCCACGACTCTGCTAGACCTCCCAGGAACCCACGAAAGTTGTGACAGTTGCGCAGGTCGCAGCCACCCAAGGAGCATCGAGGTCTCAAATGGATCTGCGCTGCCCTCGCCTCCGCCGCGCCTCCCAAGGGCCCACGAAAATGGCGACGGTCCCCCACTCCGCAGCCTCCGAGGGAGACGCGATGTGTCGGCTTGGTCTACGTGGCCCTCAAATCCGCTGGACCCCCCAGGAGCCCACGAAAGTGGTGGCAAATGTGCAGTTCGCAGCCACCCAGGGAGCAACGATGTCCCAAGCAGTTCCGCGTGGCCCCCGACTCCGCTGGGCCGCACAGGAGCCCACGAAAGTGGCGACAGTTGCGCTGGTTGCAGCCTCCCAGGGAGCAGCGCAGGAGAAGGCAGGATGAGGGGGGGAGAAGAGGAGGAGTAAGGAGTGGAGACCACGATGCTCTAGCCAAAACGAGGACCCGACAAAGAGGGTTGGAGAAAAAATGACTCGCTACATAAGCATGGCGGCCGCCAGCCGGCCAAAGACGGCTTTGATGGGAGCTCTGCCGACCCCAGAAGTTTGGAATTCACATACCGAACTCACGAAGAGATGCCCATTGAAACGATTGAGCGCAAAGCAACCAGCGGTGCGGAGAGCGGCCAGCCAGCGCAAGTTCAGGCAGAGAAGCGCCGAATGGAAAGACCAACGCGTGCCTCCATCAAACGTTGACGGTCCTCCACCGCCAGCTGTTGGCCAGCCAACGACCCAAGACGTCACCAAGACAGACGACCAAAAGATGGCCTCGGCAGGCCCAATCCGATTCCGTCAAGAGCAAGCACTGCTTGGGGAGAAAAACAAGAAAACGTCAAAATCCTGCGGGCCGAGCCCCCCCCTTCCCCGCGGAGCTCGAGGAGCCCGAGGGGTGCAGCGAGGAGGGGAAGCTGCAGGCCGCCTTGGTGGGGCTGAAACATGCGGGGCCCAGAAGCCGCACCGATCCGCCGACGCATCGGCGGTGTGCTGGCGACGCCAGTGAGGAGAGGATCGGGCGCCGCATCGCCGATGCATCGGGGATGTGGCGCGACCCTCCGCGTACCCCTGACGGGTACAAATGCTTTGGCCAACGGCCAGGCGAACTCCAACCCGTCCCGATACGGGCAATGCTGCAGTGCCTGAGAGAGGTGCCTAAATGGTAACCTTCGGCGGGTCTCAAAGGTATCCGTCGGTGAATATCCATTGCGGTGCCGCTGACTGACCCTCCAACACCGATTCGCCCTGGCCGAATTTATTGGGGGTCCCAAAACGGTGCGGTGACAGACCGTGCGGCGACCTCGGAATCCCCAAAGACCTCACCACACGGTCTGTCACCCCACGGCGTTGGAACCCTGGAGGCCCCAGGCGCTTGAGACGTCTTCGGAGAACGACCCAACCCAAAACCGTGCAGCCACCCCGAACCCACACTGAGTCAACACACGGTGTCGTCACAGCACCGTTTCGGGGCCCCCGAATTCATTTGTAGAGTAATTAGATGGGTTGGAAGAGATCGCACAGCATCGCCGCTGCGTCGGCGATGCATCGGCGACGTCCGCGATGCACTGGCGACGTCGGCGTGGAGAACATAGGGCTCCACATCGCGCCGCATCGCCGATGCATCGGCGAGGCAGTGCGATCCTCCGACCCCATCTACTCGGACCTCACCTGGGAGGCCTGGAATTTCGGGCCCCCCGAGCTCACATGAGAAGCGAGAAGACCCTGGCGGGGGGCTGACCAAGGCCGCGCCAACGGCGTGATTGGTTAACGGTGCGATTGGGAATATAATGTTTGTGACGCCGAGCTCACGCAGAACAAAATGTTGGAAATCACGAAACACCGTTTCCTATATCTCCAATCTGCGAATGTACCTGGCGAAAACGAACCAGCGAGTTGTAGGAAGACACGAACCACGCGTTCCCACCATTGGCTTGGCCACGAAACACGCCTCCCTACAATTGGTTTCCCTACTTCGCCGTTAGCCAACACACCGGCAGCGCGTCTACGGGCTGAGGCGCCCACGTCGTCGTTCCCGCGGGAGCTGACGCTGCCACCCTCGGAGTCCTCGCCGGGCGCGGCCAAGGTGGTCGCGTCGTCGCCCTCCTCCTCCTCCTCCCCCTCCCCCTTCTCCTCCTCCTCCTCCTCCTCCTCCTCCTCCTCCTCCTCCTCCTCCTCCTCCTCCTCCTCCTCCTCCTCCTCCTCCTCCTCCTCCCTCCTCCTCCTCCTCCTCCTCCTCCTCCTCCTCCTCCTCCTCCTCCTCCTCCTCCTCCTCCTCCTCCTCCTCCTCCTCCTCCTCCTCCTCCTCCTCCTCCTCCTCCTCCTCCTCCTCCTCCTCCTCCTCCTCCTCCTCCTCCTCCTCCTCCTCCTCCTCCTCCTCCTCCTCCTCCTCCTCCTCCTCCTTCCTCCTCCTCCTCCTCCTCCTCCTCCTCCTCCTCCTCCTCCTCCTCCTCCTCCTCCTCCCCCCCCTCCTCCTCGGAGTCCTCGCAGGGCGCGGCCGAGGTGCCCGCGTCGTCGCCCCCGAGGGAGCTGAGGCTGCCGCTCTCGGAGCCCTCGCCGGGGGAGAGTCGGGCATCCGGCCGGCGAGGCCTGCGCCCTCCTTCCTCGCCCCCATCCACACTCCTCATCCTCCTCCTGGTCCTCCTCCTCCTCCTCCTCCTCCTCCTCCTCCTCCTCCTCCTCCTACTCCTGGTCTTCCTCCTCCTCCTCCTTCCTTCTGGTCCTCGTCATCCTCCTCCTCCTCCTCCTCCTCCTCCTCCTCCTCCTCCTCCACCTCCTCCTCCTCCCTCCTCCTGGTCCTCTCCTCCTCCCTCCTCCTCCTCCTCCTCCTCCTCCCTCCTCCTCCTCCTCCTCCTCCTCCTCCTCCTCTTCCTCCTCCTCCTCCTGGTCCTCCTCATCCTTCCACGTATCGCCCTCCTTGTCTCCGTCCGTAGCCATTCTGGCTCAAGCCAGTTCGGCTGAAGCCGATTGACTGCTCGAGTTAGCTCTCCTCCTAATCCTCCTCCCTTTTTCTCATTGGCCACGCAAACAGTCTCGCAGGCCGCTCCCAGCACCAGCGTACTTCGAAGTGGGCGCGCTGGTGCGAGCCAGATTGTTTTCCCAACACGTCGTCGCAGACGCCCAGCGATGTCTCACGATAGCTCCGAACTTAGAGGTCGTCGCATGCCTCTGTGGCCTTGCTCGTAGTGCACCCGCACCGCGAACTGACCTTGTCGAATCAGGTGCTCTTATGGTGCTGCTGCTCCTCAGCGTATGGTACAGGCAGATCGCAGGAACGAAAAGGACTAGAAGCAGCAACCGACGAACGCCCGAGGTCCTCGCTGGCAAGTGGGCTCAGGGACCGCCTGACTTGGTCGCACAGATCACGGCAGCTCTCGACAATAAAGATTGCCCAAAAGTTCAAGCAGGCTCTTAGGGGCGAGGGTGCGGCCACGGGAAGCACTCAGTCTAAAGGGACTTCTAATGATGGACAAGCTACTCCTACGGACGAAGATCAAGGCCGCCCGCATCGACTCCCTTGAACAATGCTCTCAATCAACTCCACGATGTTGATGACGCGGATCCCGCTAAGAAACGGCTCGTGCACCAGTTACGAGATGCACGTCAAAAAAAACGCGGAGTGTCCGACCAGTGCTCCAATAGCATACGAATGTTGCGTTCCGCCCCCAGGCAGCCTAGAAGAAGTATGGTAAAGCTCGGGATGCAGTTGAATCCCAGAAGAAGATCACTGCTGAGGCCCAGCAAGCGTTGCTCGAGTTGCAGGAGAAGGAGGTGGCTCTGCTGCGTGAGACCGACGCTCTCAGTAAAGAACTTCGCCGCACGATGCCAACCACTCCTACGCCAACGGGATCGCCAGCGCCTGAGCTGTTGTGGATGCCATGACAATGGACACCCTAACAGTCCTATCGTTGAGTAAAAATGTGTTCCAAATGTTGAAACATGTTATAAAAACGGTTAGAACATGTTTTACGTGTTTATGATATGATTCAAACATATTTTAGACATCTTGAAATGATTTGGCAACACGATTCATCTCCATTGATCGTCGTCCACAGAGCTGGTGAAGCCAACCCGGAGCTCAAGGCCGTCATCGAGACCCCCTATGCTGCCTCGCCTGCCTGCTGGTGAGACTTACCAGCAGGCAGACGAGGCAGGCGCCCGCGCCCGCTGCCGCCCAGCCTCCGCCTGCCTGCACCGGCTGCTGACGCTGGCGGCCAGGGCCAGGAGGGATCGGGGTACCCGTTGATGATGGTGATGATCCGGTGGATGGCCTCTCTCCCGATGATGCGGACAAGCTGTTGCGTGCGGCCAACGACAACCGCGCACTCGAGAAACATCCCGTGGGCGTCGAGCGCGCGCGGCTGGCAGCCTCACCCACACGGCAGCAGGTTCCTGCTCCTGCTGCTCCTGCTGCTCCCCCCGCACCTGCAGGTCCAGTCCGGCAGCCTTGGTAGCAGTATTCTCCTGTGCGGTCTCCCTGTCTGCATGTGGAGTGGTGGTGCCGCAGTATAAGGGCATGCCAGCAGCCCAAGACAATGTTGAACTGCATGATGATAGCCTGTCTCAGTTGAACGAGTCCTTCAGTGGCAACTGTAGGGCTACACTCTTGGACAGGCTACGCGTGAATAAGTCTATCATTAGCCGTACGCAGGATATTGGAACGGCTGCCAAAACTGTTTCAGACCTCCAACGCGCAACACGTAAAATTGGTTTTAGAGCTCGGGGGCTCCTCCCCCAGAAGTTAGCGAACGCAATACTCGTTCGGCTGGTGTTGCAATATTTGCCTGAATGTCATTGGGAATACGATGGAACCCAACAGGTGGTGAGATCATCCATGAACGACTGATACCTGTCGCTGATGATACACCCGAGTGGCCCGCGCTCGCAGTTTTCTCTGCATCTATGTCGACGTGTATCGGCCTCGGCCAGGCCAACGTGCGCATCTTGGCCACGTGCGGGTGTCCTGGACCATCCCATCCAAAACGACACGTCATCAATACCTTGCTCAGCGGTGGTGCCTACTCTTGAAAGAACCGAGAATACAATAATCGATGCTCAAATCTGTCGAGGCTGGCAATGGCTGCACCGTGTGTGGCACGAGTTTGAAGACATGGCGAATGATGGTGAGGTGGACCTTGACAGCAACCCGGCAGCCCTGAGTCGCAAGCACGCATGTTTGTTGGAGGCCTACCCTGGTGATCTTCCGACCTAAGTTCCAACGTGGGCGTGTTGGACGGCGCTCCCTCCAGTCGTACTTCCAGCGTGGGTGGGATGGGTGGCGCCTTGTCTGAGCCTATCTCCAACATGGGTGGGTGGCTGGGGGGCGCTACGTCCGAGCTTACCTCCAACTGGGGCGGCCTGGGTGGCGTCCTGTCGGAGCCTGTCTCCAACGTGGGTAGGCTGGGTGGCGCTATCTCCGAGCCTACTTCCAGCGTGGGTGGGTCGGGCGGCGCCTTGCATGAGCCTACTTCCAACGTGGGTGAGCTCAGTGGTGCAGCTGCCGCGTCAAATCGCGGGGAAGCCCCGCAAACGAGGGAACGCCCCAGGTTCCGTGTCGCCACTTGGAGCTGGGCGAGACTCTGGGGCATGCCCTCCTCCCTGCTCCTCCCCCCTGCCTCCCTGCCTGCCTCCCACCACTGCCTCCCTCCCTGCCTCTCTATGACTGCCTCCCTCCCTGCTTCCTTTTCTTCGTGCCCTCCTGTCGCCCTCCCTCTCCCCCGCCACGTCCTCCCTCCCAGCATCCATCCTGTCTTGTCCTCCCTTGCCCACGTCATCATTCCACCTCCTCCCCTGCTCCCTGCCTCCCTCCCGTCCTCCCTCCCGTCCTCCCTCCCTCCCTCCCCTCCTCTCTTCCTCCCCCACCCCTCCCTCCCCTCCCCTCCTTTCCTACTCCCCGCTCCTCCACTCCCCTCCTCCGCTCCCCCTCCCCCCCCCTCACAGGATTTCGGCCGGCCGCCCGCCCCCCAGGCCTCGGGAGTGCGCAGCTTCAGCCGCCCGCGCATCGCTCCTGCGTCGCCGACCTCCGCGGGAGAGGAGGGGGGGAGGGATGGCCTTCAGACAGACTACCACTACCGCAAGTATCAGGGGGGGAGGGGGTCCTCCTCCTCCTCCTTCCTCATCTCCTCCTCCTCGTCCTCCTCCTCGTCCTCCTCGTCCTCCTCCTCGTCATCCTCCTCCTCCTCCTCCTCCTCGTCCTCCTCCTCCTCCTCCTCCTGCTTCCTCTAACTCATGGTTGTGGTAATGGAAAACAGGCCCAGCAGGAGATGGGGTGTTCATCGGACGTGGGCCAGAGGCTCGAGTCAAGCGCTAGCTCACAGGCCAGCAAGGCCGAAGTGACGAGGAGACCGACGAGGGCCCGGGAAGCGAGGCGAGGCGCGGGCCGCAGAAAAGGGCCACGAGCGGAAGGGCCGACCGAAGAGGAAAGCCGAGGCCCGAAGCCGCGCAGGGGCACGAAGCAAACGAGCACGAGTCGAAGCGGTGCAGGGACGGGGGGGTGAGGAAAAGACTACCTACCAAACCACCCCAACCCAACCGGAAGACCCGAATTTCGGGTTGGGGCGGGGGGGAGGGGCGGGTTCCATACGTGTTTTTTCCCATGTTCCCCGACCCCCCCCCCCACTGGACATGGAGGGCATTCGGGCTGGGTTGGGGTGGTTTGGTGGGCGGTGAGAAGGGAACAGGGAGGTGGTGCAACGGTGGCGTGACGGTCAGCGAGTGCTCACATCTGGCCCTGTATTCTATGGAAAACCCCTCGGGGAGCCCTGGCAGGCAAGCCAGGCAGGAAGCAGCATTGGAATTCGAATGCACGAGAACCGCGCCAGGGAGCGGGCGGGGAGGGACCAGCTCGAATGCGAGGGAGGGGGGAGGAGGGCGGGGGGGGCAGCGGCGGCCAGCCGTTGCCACGTCTCGGGCCTCTGCGGGCCGACGTCGGGCGCCAGCGCCATCCGGGAACGAGGTGGGGCCAAGAGCCTGGTCCCTCGGACGGGGTCGAGAAGTCGAGGGCCCACGTCAAGCAAAGAAGCACGACGTCGCCCGCCCGGGGAAGGAGGGAGGTCGAGCAGGGAGGGAAGAGGGATGCAGGGAGGAGGGAGAGGAAGGAGGGCGGAGGGAGGTGTGATAATTAGCTTGGGGGGTTCGAGGAAGGAGGGAGGCCAGGAAGAACGTGGGGAGCGGGGAAAGGAGGGAGAGGCATACGAGGAAGAAGGGCGAAAAGTGGAGAGGACGAAGGGCAAAGTCCAGACTGGGGCACACTGGACACTGGACACTGCGCCTGTTCGTCCTGCTGGACGGCCCTACGAAGGGCTAGCCAAAGGCGCCGCGGCGCCGGCGAATGCAAATTGCAGGCTGGGGGGCAGGGAAAGCGGAAGAGCCGGCCGAGTATCATTCACACTGTCGTTACAATACCGATGTGGCCGCACGCGAGATTTTCCAGTTTGTAACCACGGACTACTATCGGGGGCCATGTGTTGCAAAACATATCCAGTAACCGCGTACATTAAACTTGCCCTATGAACGATCCACCTTTGATTGGGTCGTTATGGCAATATCTATGCATGCGTTTTGGTCACCTTTGCAACTCCATGCCCCAAAGGGGTCATTGACCGTTGGCACAAGCAGCCTCCATTAGAGCGCCGTTGCCGTGCGCACCAATATTTGCACCCCACTTCGTGGCAATAGTCTTCAAGCGCTCTGCGTGCACCGAATCCAGTCGAGACACGGTTCCCATGGATCTGTGGCGGTGCGCAAACTCGATGCCGTAATTGTGCCACCAGTGCTGGCATGAGCGCCGCTGCTGTCGGAGCAGCTGTCCGCAGTAGAGTTGGCCCTGTCGTAGTGTTGCACTTCTTGCGCCGTCTCTGGAACGCAGCGTCGTGATGTTGGAGGCCTGGAAATGGGCACCAACACAAAGACAGGGGGGCTGCCTCCACAGGAGGGGTGATCCTAGATGTCGGCGTCGTTGGTAATATTTTGGTCACTTCGGAAGCCAGAACATTACCACCATCGCCGAGGTCGGGATCTTCTTCCCTCAATGGAGGAAATCCACCGATTTGGGTGGTGGTGTCAACCTCTAGGCCTGCGATAGTGGCCCACGAACCATTCTGATCATGTGCCGTTCTGTGGACCGCACCCGCGGTTGAAGCGGAATTGTCATCGCCCATGAATCGGGACCACAAAGCAGCGCGAGGGCAACAGTACAATTGAACGAGGAGGGGGGGGAAGGGAGGAGGAGAACCAGGAATGTTTTGGATTGCGCTCTGATTCGCCGAGGAGACGGTCAGCTTAGCGCGGCACTCACTAGCTGCTGGCAGAAACACGCGGAATCTAGCAGCACGGGCGCCAAGGTGTACGTGTTCCACCCCTGTCCTGTCCCCACAAACCCCCAGATTGTACGGACACGACTAATGGCCAGTTCGACGTAGCTCTCATTCTGCGCCGGAAGGGAAGGATAATGGGGCAAGACCGAGGGGAGAAATGATATATCCGAGAGAAGAGAATAAGACTGGGACGTAGAGCCAAAACAACTTCCAGCTCGGTAGGAGGGCAGACAGAAAGGGGAGGGTCGCGAGCAGGCTGCCTGACCACTCCGACCCGACTGAGCTCCTGTAAGGCGGTGCTGCACAAGGAACGTACAACAACCGCTCGTTTTCCTGAAAGGGGAAGGAAGAGAGGGCGCGGGAGGGCATAATTGGCACGACAAAAAGCTCGGCGACGTCCAACGACCCTCCATCCCCCGACCTCCTACGATCCTCCCAGCCAGTCCTCCACATGTGCAACTATTGGCCAAGCTGGGCCAGGCGCGCATTGACAAGCATATCATCGTAACCGAATGCCTGAGGAGGGGGAGGAGCAGGCACATGCATTGGTCCTGCCCGGACCCACCAGCGCACTCACATGTTAGACATGGCATCGGCGACAGCTCGGTCAAGGCACGCCGTCAGCTCACGATTCGACTCGGCCGATATCGCAACCGCTCCGCGAATCGAATAAGATCTGCGTTGCGCTCGGGCCCACGTCCACTGCAAATCAAAAAAATCGAAATGGTGGCCTGCTGGAGGGCAAAAGGATCAGAGGGTGAACGTGATGGTCATGAACAGCGCCGCGAGCACCACGGTCTGGAGCCACGGCCATGGCAGCAGCAGCGCCGGAAGCGGAGGCATCGCACGCCTCGAGCCTCGGCCCCACCCGGGGTGCAGCACCTGCAGGACGCGGTGGCACACGGCGTAGAGCACCATCGCGATGACCATGAACCACACCAGGAGCTCCAGGTTCCTGAGCCGCGAAGGCAGCAGCTCCGGAAACGCCGACCGCGCCTCCAGCAGGTAACCGCGGCTCTGAGCGAAGAACACGATCGAGATGATCCTGAACCCCGGCTTCGGCAGCAGCAGCGCCAGACGCGGAGACCGCGAACCTCACCCGCTTTCGCGCCTCTGGGGGCGCAGCACCAGCAGGCAGACGCGTCGCAGGGCGTAGGTAACGATCACGAGAAGCGTGGACAACACCACCAGAAGCTCCGGATTCGAGAACCTTGGCCCCGGCAGCAGCAGCGCCGGAAGTGGCCTCGCCAAACGCCCCGCGACGTGGCACCTCGGGGGGCCCAGCACCAGCAGGGAGCCCCGACGCAGGGCGTAGAGGACATTCCCGACGTTCTTGAACATCACCGGGAGATCCACGATCCTGCGCCGCTGCATGCGGCAGGGCTGGCTTGCTGGGATGTGCCAGCTGCGCCATGGAGGATCTTGAGCTGGGGCCACTTGCCTAGGAAGGCTGCAACATCCGTCTCGCCCGCATCCTGCACGATGCGAACTCATCGGGAAGGCGAGCCACGGGAACAGGCCCTCGGCCGCGCAAGACTTTGACCAACGCCACCACCAGCGGCGGGGCCGCATCCAGCGCCGAAGGCGGGGCAGCCATCGCCTCCGCCAGCGCCGGTGGTGAGGCAGCACGGTCCAGAGCCTCCGGAGACGCAGCGCCATCGGGACGCGCATGCGGGCCGGCACGAGGCAGAACACGCTCATCCTCTCGAACGTCATGTGCGGGTGGCGGCAGCAGACAGAGCGGTGGCAGTCCGGGAGTATCATGTGCAGGTGGTGGCGGCAACACCGGTAGCTGCGGCAGCGGGCGCGAAGCGCTCGCCGAGGAACGCGGCGGGGCGCAGGGTGCACTCCGGGGTACAGCAGGCCAGGGGGCGCCAGGGGCCACGCCAGCGGCCGCAGCAACCAGGTCCACAATCGGCGGCACGTCATCGATCTGGACGTCGGGTTGAACTTCAGGCCGAGCACGAGAACGAGCTTGGGCATCGGCAGCAGCGACGGCGCGAGCGAGGCTAGCCACGTCGCGCATGCAGGATCGGCGGCCGACTCGGACCGCGAAGCCGAGCCTGCGCACGGCGGCGCGCAGGGGCGGTCTCGGCCACTCGCCATGGCATTGGCCGGAAGCATCTCGCGGCGCGCGGCTGTCCCGGCAGAAGGGGTCGGTCGGGACGGCGCACATAGGCTCCTAGCCCCCCAGTGGGAAAATGTCTCCACCGGGGCCGGAGCCTTGAGCCAAAATGGCTTGAGCCAAAATGGCTTGAGCCAAAATGGCTACGGAGGACCAGGGAGGGAGGGAGGGAGGGATAGGCAGTGGAAGGTGGTAGGGAGGAGGGAGCCAAAGATGAGAGAGGAGGGGGGGCGGGCTGGATCCGAGCGAGCGACTGGGTCGGCCTCCTCCTCCTCCTCCTCCTCCTCCTCCTCCTCCTCCTCCTCCTCCTCCTCTTCTTTCTCCTCCTGCATCACCCTTTTGTCGCTTCGTGACCAAGCAGAGTCTCCAGAGTCTCCTGCATCCCACTCCCATGTAGGGCCCCGCGCTATGCAAGGGTTCCTGGCACGAGTGTGGGTTGGGAAAACGGCCATAGGCGATGGGTAATGCCTGACGGTTCTCCGTAGATTGGCAGCGGGACGAGGCACCATGGTCTGGCAGAGTGCGTGGACATGCAACGGACTGCCCCGTACTTTTTGCGCAAAACTCGCAACCCTGCCATATTGAGCCGAATGCCACGCGCGAGACAGCGTACAGGACGCGCTGGGTGACACACGTTCGAGCCGTTCACGGCCTGAAGCTCGTCTGCTATAGTGACCGCCGGCACTCCACGCCTCATGGTCTTCTGGAAAGGTTTAACCCGTGTTTCTCCGGTTGATTGGAAAATGTTTGCATACCAAGTCCACTCACGCGAATCCTTGTGAAGCCTCGTTCATCTTGGCTGGGTCGGGACAAGCAGCTGGCACACAAAGATCATACAAGGCCCCGCAGCAGCACATATGGAAGAGGGGGGTGCTCGCTGGCATGCGTGCGCTCAACTGTGTGATTGCATGCTTTACAGCTTTACATAATTCAAGCGCGACTGCACCTTCCAGACTACACTAAGGAACCCAAAAACAAGATCAAATGAGCAGCCCCGAACACATATTGCGAGTTCCGTCCTTTGGGGGCCTGCGGAATGGTGTAAACCTCTCAAGAGACTGCGGGACCCCTGTAATCCCCCTGTCACCCCGAGGAACCAAGAATCAATCACAATCGAGCGAGGTGCACGTGAATGTTCAGCCAAAGTGATGTGCGTCTCAGAGGCGGCAGGCAGCTGTGACTTGTCAAGAGCGCATTCCATAAGAGATCTGCGTAACGATATCCGTACCCTCCGCCTCCTCCTCCTCCTCCTCCTCCTCCTCCTCCTCCTCCTTCTGCTTCTCATCCTCTTCCTCCTCCTGCTACTTCTCCTCCTCCTCCTCCTCCTGCTCCTCCGCCTCCACTTCCTCCTCCTCCTCCTCCTCATCCTCCTCGTCCTCCTCCACCTCCTCCTCCTCATCCGCCGCTAGATCCTCCCCCCAGGGAGAGGATCGGGAAAGAGTGGTAGGGGGGATGAGGTTGGCGGGAAGGACGGGGTGAAGGGGCAGGGGGAGAAGGAACAAGGGGGGAACGGAGAGGGGGAGAGGGGGGAAGGGAGGGGCAGGATGGGCGAGGGGGGGTAAAGAAATCGAATGAGAGCTAGGAGTGCGGAGGGGGATCGCTCGGCTGCGCAGACTACTCGTCCACGCGAGCCGGGCACAAGAAGAGGGGGCGCAAGCAACAGCAACATCAGCCGACCTCACGCTGCTGGGGCAGCTCGCCGGACATGGGAGCAGCTTCCTTGGGCGACCGCGCGCGCTCCCAACGGGACGCACCAAGATGGGCAGAGCCAAAACGGCTACTGCCTGCCATGCCTGCCGAAACGCGAGTCTGCCGTGACCAGCATTCGTGCGCCTCTGCTATAATTTGTTGCGAGCGCGCCCTGCGCACGTCCTCCACAGACGCGGCTACCAGATGCACAGCAGGCCATCGGTTTGAGGGTGGCCGTCATGGCTCACAGGATCCACGATGTTACCAGACCGTGACACAGGTTGATGCGTGCAGAATTATGGGTGTGGGGAGAGAGAAAGAGAGAGCGAGACAACTCAGACAAATGATATTTCAGAAGACACAGAGATATAGGAAGAGCGGCATAGCGAGATAATGGCAGAGAAAGAGAGAAAAGAGAGAGAGAGAGAGATGATACGCGTTTCAACGCAACTCGCGGTAATGCCCATTACCAGGGCCGACCCTCACACTTTTAAGTCGGCGCCGCGGTGGAACCTCAGGCGCGGTCGGCAGATGAAAGTGCGGACGACAACAGTCGAACGCGCCGTGATGGTCCAGCCACGGCCGTGCAGACAGGTGCAGGTGGTGAAATGATGAGACACTGTAAAGCCAAAACCGACCCTCTCTCTCACACGCACACACAAACACACACACAGAGACTTTTTGGCGTCGCGGCCCAGCGCGCGGCGACAGGACGTATATAAGGTCGGAAAACTGTGTAGCACCCCTCCTCACATACACACACACACACAAGCACACACACAGACGGTGACCACACCATGGTCGCAACAGAGTCCAAAGCACATACCTACGAGAAAGGTAAGGGCGACTGATGGACAGACAGACTTACGACAGGACGCACAAAACCGACAGAAAAGGCAGGCAAGGCAGACGGGACGGATACTGTCGAGAGGCCGACGGGCACAGAAGACAAGACAAGGCAAGGCGAGGAAAAGAACTCCTGGAGGGCGGCAGCAGCTGAGCGTGCCCCTCCGCCTACCCTGACCGTCTGCCCGTGTCCAACAGCGCGCGCGCGCAAGGCGGGAAGGTCGAGGAGCCGAAACGGGAGGCCCCGCCGACAGCTGCTCTGCCCAATATTGCGCGCGAGACCCATTCGAGAGGCAGTCTTCATCGAGAGAAAGTGGGGAGGAGGGGAGTGAGGGGGGCAACATGAGGAGGGGGGAAGGCAAGGGGAGGCGCGAGGCGGAAGGGGGAAACGGAGGTGGACAGGGGATGTGGGCAGGAGGGAGGTAAATGGGACGGAGGCGAAGAGAGAAGTAGCAGCGGTGGCCGCAGAGTATACCTGCAGCTCGATGACGGGGCGGCCGTCCACCATGCTGATCGTGGCGCTCCTGAAAGGGGGCCTGCCTTTTCAGCCTCCTCACCGCCCGCCCCCCTCCCCCTCCCCCACCTGTAAGCCTCCGCGGGGCCTGGGCCTCCTCCCTCCCCTCCCCAGGCCCCCCTCCCCCCGGGAGTCCTGACCGCCGCCCTCGGCGCGGGCGCGGAGGCAGGGACCAGGCCGCTGACCTCCAGGGGCACCTGCAGCAGCACCTCTCCGCGCAGAGGGGGCGGAGATGAGCCGCCCGAGCTCGAGTAGGGCTCTCCCCTACCCGCTGCGCCCCTCCCCCTGTGAGGGGGACGGGGCTGTCAGTGCCGCCGCAGGCGTTGCCCGTTTCAAACGAAAGTCGCCCTGCCGACAGCGGGCGCTGCCGATCCGGGGCAACACTTGATTCGGGGGCGCGCAAACATCGATTAGCGATCCATGGATTTGGCGCGTGGTCGCCAAGTCCGTGGATCGGGGGAGGTGCCCTCCCCAAAATGCTGCCGGTGCCGCCTCATTCGGCGACGGAAATCCGCGATGTGACCCCCGGAAGCGGGACCCGTCGCTAATCCACGCCCCCTTGATCCATGCTTGCGATCGCCTCACTGGTGTTGGACATCGTACCAGTGGTGTACGTACCCATAGGGGGGGCAACATCAGAGGGGGGACGGGCTCAGAGGGGCGACCGCGCGTTCCTGGGCGGGGACGGGCCATCGGGCCCCCAACGGCGATAGGTGATCGACTGTGGGTCGAGGCACCTTCCCCGGAGCCTGTCTCCCCCCAGCGTTGCCCATGACCCTCGAGGTTCGAGGATCGAGGGTGATAGACGCTTCTGTTAATTGTCTGGTCGTTTTTGCTTTGTTGGGGGGGGGGGGGGGCGCAAGGAGGCCTCTGGAGATCTCCGGGGGCCTTCGGAGGCCTCCAACTCTCCTGGATGCCCCAGGATGCCCCCGTCGCGCAGTTTCCTCCTGCCCCCCCCCCCTGAAGATCGAAGACTTTTGTATTTTTATCGCGCACATCGCCCCTCTTCAGGACGATGGATGACTGAGCTGGTTGTCGAAACGCTGCTGACGCCATGTCTGAAACAACCACTCCCGCGCAAAACGTGGATCCACCTTGCAACGCGGTCGCACACAACCAGCCCCGCTTCGCCTGGCGAGTGAAGAAGAGACCGCGTCGTGCGGCAGCCGCCTGCCAGACCTCCAGCGATGTGATGTCTACACTCTGCGACCCAGAAATCCTAATCTTTGCCCTGGAATCACTCTGTCGTCCTGGAAGCAATTCGGATGGTCCCAGGGACTGAACGCAGCCCCCACCCGCTGAAATCAAGAAAACATCCTCCCCATCCCCTCCGAAGCGAGACCGTTCGCCCAAAGGCCCTTTCGCTAGGAAGCCCGATCGCCCAGAAACCCCTTCGCCCAGCGACCGCTCGCCCAGGCGCCCGCTCGCCCAGAGCCCGTTCGCCCGAAAGCCCGTTCGCATAAAAACCCCTTCGCCTGGAGCCCGTTCGCCCAGAAACCCTTTCGCCCAGAAGCCCATCCGCCCAGAAGCGTTCGCTCAGAAGCCCGTCCGCCCGAAGTCCCAGGAGGGCCGCCGCCGCCTGACGGGCGGATGGGCGAGCGGACCCTCACGGGCGGGACGGGTCGGGCGGGAGGGACAATAAGTTTTAGTGCACAATCGAAACGGCACGTGTACCCTAACGGGCGAGCCGGGTCGGGCGAGGACCCGAACGGGCGGGTCGGGGCGGGGCGGGCGGGCGGACCCTGACAGGCGGGTCAAGTCGGATGGGCGGGACATTAACATATAATGTACACTCAAATTGGCACGTGTCTACCCTAACGGGCGAGTCGGGTCGAGCGGGCGGACCCTAACGGGCGGGTCGGGGGGGCGGGCGGGACGTTAAAGTATTGTGCACAATGGAATTGGCACGCCTGTACAATAACGGGTATTGAATGCTGTGTTGGAGACGGAGGCTTTGGAACTTTGGGCGCTGTGTTGGAGACGGAGGCTGTTGAGGAGGATTGACATTGTTGGTTACACGCGGGGTGGGAGCTGTGGAATATTGGATGCTGTGTTGGAGACGGAGGCTGTGGAAAATTGGATGCTGCGTAGGATACGGAGGCTGTTGAGGAAGACTGTCTTATGTACGTGCACATGGGGTGGAGACTCTGGAGTATTGGGTGATGTGTCGGAGACGAAGGGTGTGGAGTAATTTGTGCAGTGGTGGGGGCGGAGGCATTGGAATGCTGTGTTGGAGACGGAGGCTGTTGAGAACGACGGCGCATTTTGAATTACACTTGGGGTGGAGGCTGTGGAGTATTGGGGACTGCGTTGGAGACGGAGGCTGCTGAGGACTGTATTTGTTAGGTGCACATGGGGCGGGGGCCGTGGAGTATTGGGTGATGTGTTGGAGACGGAGGCTGTGGAGTAATTTGTGCAGCGGTGGAGACGGAGGCTGTGGAATGCTGCGTTGGGAACGGAAGCTGTTGAGGAGGATGTTACGTCTAAGTTACACCTGGGGCGGAGGCTGTGGAATATTGGGTGCTGTGTTGGAGACGGAAGCTGTGGAGTAATGGGTGCTGTGTTGGAGACGGAAGGTGTGCAGTATTGGGTGCTGTGTTGGAGACGGAAGCTGTTGAGGAAGACTGCATGCTTAGCTACACCTGTGGTGTGGGGTGGGTGCTGAGGAGCATTGAACAATTTGTTGGAGACTGAAGCTGTGGAGTTTTGGGTGCTGTGTTGGAGACGGAGGTTGTGGAATGCTGTGTTGGAGACGGAGGCTGTTGAGGAGGATTGTGTTTTTTAGTTACACTCGAGGGGGCTGTGGAGTATTTGGGGCTGTGTTGGAGATGCAAGCTGTGGAGTACTGGGTGATGCGTTGGATACGGAGGCTGTTGAGGAGGATGTTACTTTTTATTTACACCTGGGGCGGGGGCTGCGGAGTATTGGGTGATGCGTTGGAGACAGAGGCTGTGGAATATCGGGTGCTGTGTCAGAGACGGAGGCTTTGAAACTGTTGGTGCTGTGTTGGAGACGGAGGCTGTTGAGGAGGATGCATTTTTTGATTACACTTGGGGGGGGGCTGTGGAGTATTGGGTGCTGTGTTGGAGACGGAGGCTGTGGAGTAGAGGCGTGTGTTCAAGTTACGCCAGCAGAGTACTGAAGGGCGCGTTGGGTACGAAGGCTGCAGGGGTGCGGGAATGGGCCTCTGCAGAAGCAGGCCTCTGCTGGAGCGGGCCTCTGCCAGAGCGGGCCTCTGCCGGAACGGGCCTCTGCCGGAGCGGGCCTCTGCCGGAGCGGGCCTCTGCCAGAGCGGGCCTCTGTCAGAGCGGGCGTGTCGAGCGAGTATCATTCGCTCGAACTGAAATTTGCTCGAAATTCGCTCGAATTTGAAGACGCACGGGCGGGTTTGAATTCGCTCGAATTCAATGATTCGCTCGGGCTGAAAATCGCTCGAATTTGAATTCGCTCTGGTTTCAATTCGCTCGGGTTGAAATTCGCTCGGGTTTGAATTCGCTGGGTTGCAACGCGCTCGAACGAACAGCCGCGCGGGATGCAATCCGCTCAAGTACACCTATGCAACCTGAATAAAAGCCAGGCGAGACGAAGCCGAGCGAAACGAAACCAAGCGAAACAAACGAGCGAACAAAAAGCGAGCGAAACGAAAGCGAGCGAAAAACGATTCGAGCGAAACGAAAGCAAGCGATCAAACATCGAGCGACGAAAAAACGAGCGACAAAAAAATCTAGCGAAATAAAACCGAGCGAACAAAAAGAGAGCGGGGTCTGAACTGGTTGGGACACCAGAAAATCGATCAGATGATTAAGGAGGCCAAATCTGATCAAAAGCCAACGCTGAACCCCTCCCAGGGTCCATCTGATGCAGTTGTTGGCCCCGCGAACGCAGACGTATCTGAGAAAAAACTAGATCGCT